CTTTTTTCCTTTCTTTGTTTCCTTTTCCTATAGGTACATGCTGAATTTCAACGTGGTTGGTGATTATCCAAGTGCTTTCCATTTAATTGATTTCCAGCTTCCTATATATCTGTGAAGGGAGAACACACTGTAGGCCTGGGGTGGGGGGGCTTCAATCCCTTGAAATTTGTTACAGGTTGCACGAAAACAATATCTACTCACATGGTCTTCCCTCTGTGAGTGTCTGTGACTCCAAATCTCTCCTTTTCCTAAGGACAACAGTCCTATTGGGTGAGGCCTACCTTAATGATTTCACCCGCACACGACCACCAGGGTAATGCCAGAGTAGTAGTCTACCATCAAATAAGGTCACATTTAGAAGAACGAGGGATGAGGAATACAACATATCAATTATGGGAGCACAAAATTCAACCCATAAGAGTCAGGCCTATCGCCCCCCAAATTCATGTCTTTACGTCCACAATGCATTCATCCTATGTGAATATCACCAAAAGTCTTCGCCCATTCCAGCATCAATGCAAAGGCCAAATGTCATCTAAATATCGTATACACCAGATATGGGTGCATTTCCAGCTCTGATTAATGCTGAGGCGTAATTCCTGCCCAGCTGAGAATGTGTGACAGGAGACAAGAAGTTACCTGCTTCCAAAACACAATGGACAGACAGGCACAGGACAGTCATTACTCTTCCAAAATCAAGGTATTGGAAAGGGAAACAAGGGTTCGTGGGCCCAGAGCAAGTTTGGTTCCAAGTAGGAAACATTATATTAGATCACAAGGATGGAAAAGAATCCTCTCTGACTCTAGGCCCTGAGCTCTGCTCCCACAAGGAGTGGCAGCCCCACACTCTCTGCCATGGGAAGTGGCGGCCTCCCACCTATCCAGGGCTGCTGCAGTACCTTCTTCTGAAGGCCAGGTGTTCCTAACCTTTGGAACCCAGGAGGCGGCCTTGGTCTCAGGAATCAAGGAGAAGATGGCTCTACAGATCCTGGCATTGCGCCTCTGGGTCTGTAGTGGCAGTGGCAGCCCTGACAGCCACTGAAACTTCTGTGGGGTCATTTGCCCCCTTTCCTGAAGAATAGCCCATGTTCCCAGGGAGATATAGCTGTGGGCCCTTTTCACGCCTGCCGAATTCCAGCAGTCCCAACATTCTTCCTTCGTGATGTCTGTCCCATCTCTTTCCCTTGAATTCCGGCTAGCCACCTTTCAGCCAGCTTCAAATTCTCAGAATAAGACACCCGTTGGCTTTCCCTACAATCCAAATGGTTCAAGCTATCGCACAGTACGTTCCTCCACACGTTTTTCTTGCATGACTGTATCTCCATTCCTGACTTCTGCTGAGATGGTGGATTGGACCCACGTGTCACATGCCTAAGCTCCCGACTCATGGTTTACCAGGCACACCCTTGTCCCTTTTTCCAAAGCAGGCTACCTGGTTAGGCTGAGAAGGTTGCAAATCATCGCGTGCTAGTTTCTTCTCATTTCATGCTCTCTTCTTCAATTTACGTCTCTCCTCTGGCATTTACTATGAGCAGCAGGGGGAGACCAGGCCATGCCTTCAACCCTGTGCTTACAAATCCCATCAGCTTATCTGTCCCAGCTCATCATGTTAACATTCTAATCTTCACCACACACAAAACACTGGCACATGGTGTAGGCAAATGCTCTGTCAACTGATAACAAGGATGGCCATTTCTCAAGTTTCCAATCACATGCCTCTAATTTCCATCCTCTATCTCAGCAGAAGCACCCTTCTCCCTCACATATCTAGCAACATAATTTTCATGATGCTCTATGTATTCTCTAAGATGATAAAGTCTTTCCCCATAGCTCTCCTCTTTTCTGTATGAGACCTCACCTGAATTACACTTCATGTCCATATTTCATCCAACAGTCCCTCAAAGCAATCTCAGCTTGTTCTGTCATGTATCTCAAAACGCTACCATCCTTACCAATTACCCAGTTTCTTCCCCCCCATTACCCAATTTCAGAGCCACCCCGACTTCCTAAGTCTTTGTTACAACATCATCCCACTTCCGGCAACAAAATCTGCATGAGTGTGCTAAGTCTATCCTGATGATGGCCTTGGTGGACTCAGACACGGCGTGCTTGCCAATCTCCCCAGGCAGCAGCAGGCGCACAGCTGTCTGGATCTCCCTGGAGGTGATGGTGGAGCACTTGGTGGAGCGGGCCAGGTGAGAGGCCTCGTCGGCGATATGCTCGAAGATGTCCTTGACAAATGAATCCATGACGCTCACGGCCTTCTGCGAGGGTCTCAGGATCTTGTGAACATGCCTCAGAACCCTGGGGTATAGGTGGTAAAACTGTAGTGGGGGTGGGGTCAGTGTTGGTGAGAGGGAGGTGGTGGCAGCAGCAGCGGCAGCACTGGCGCGTTGGATGCTTCTGCTTCGGGCTCTTCGGGTCAGCTGCTGTGGGATCCTCCATCTGTGCCCAGGCTTTCCTAAGAAGAGGTCTCACAGCCGGGCTCAGCCATGTGGGGCTCACCTTCCCGACAGCTCAAAAGGAAGGACAATGGCGGCGGCTGAGGGGCACTGGCCCATTTCTAGTCGTTGCATTTCCTGACGTCATGGGCAACCTCCATATCTGAATGGACAAAGTGCAATGCAGGGAAGCACGTCACTATGTCAGGCCTTGTCACATGTGCATGTGATTGCACACCCTTCTGCATCCCATCAAACAATCACAGTGGGATTCTGGCATCTTCTAAACTTCGTGTTGCCTCTCTCAGAAACATGCCACATAGAGTTATAGGTCATCTGGACCACAAACTGATTCCTGCCTGCCATATGGAACAACAAATTCTACCTCTTTTTAGAGTGGCTGAACATTAATTGAGGCTTTAAGAATATTCCTACAGATTAAGTCCTCCTAAACAAGGACATAATCTAAAGGCCGGCCACTGTCAGTAGTATCAATAACCTAAACTGTATCTAGTAAAAGCTTATTATCAGATATAAACTATCAAAATATGTTTAACCTATATAAGTAAGCGATAAGATACGTAAAACATGAGGAAGAAATATCTAATTACTTACAAAAGCAAAGTATTTTGAAGAAACAGTTATGTTCTAGAACAGAACCTCATAACCACTGGAAGAAAAGATTGAAGAAATTCTGGACAGGATATAGGATACAGCTGCATAGAGAATTGGTGAATTAGAACAGGTGGAAGAGATTGTGCAGAACACCTTATAGAGAGATAAAGAGAAAGAAAAGTTTAAAGAGAGCCCAAGAGACTTAAGAAATTAACTAAGAAGTTATAAAGTACATGTCCTAGGCATCCCAGAAGCAACACATTGGGTGAATTTTGGAAAAGGTCATACAGATTAAGGTCATCCATCACATTGGCTGATTTATGCCTACACCATTTTCACTTTAAGATGTCACCCAAAGCAGCCAAATTCTAATGATTTCAGTTTCAGGTTCCAGGGAGAGTGGGAGTCCCATAACTAGAGTTCTCACTGCCATGAGAATGACTCTATCATGGCCCAGTGCTAGGCCATTTTCTTTCCTCCCAATATGATAAAAGTATTTCATAAAAATATTATAACCGTATAAATGATATTCCACTATTTTCAGTAAATGATATTGGGAAAATTGGACAGCTACAGGCAAAAGAATGAAACTGGACCACTTTCTTATACCATGCACAGAAGTAAACTCAAAATTAATTGAAGAGCTATGTGTGAGATTTTAAATCATAGAACTCCTAGAAGAAAACATAAGCAGTAATCTCTTGGACGTAGGCCTTAACAACATATTTATGGATATGTCTCCTTGGGCAGGGAAAACAAAAGCAAAAATAAAAAGGTTTTGCACCACAAAGGAAACCATTAACACAAGAAAAAGTCAAACTAGTGCATGGGAGAGGATATTTGCAAATGATATATTCGGTAAATGGTTAATATCCAAAATATATAAAGAACTCAAACAACTGAAAAGGAAAAACACAATCTGATTAAAGAATGGACAGAGGACCTAAGGAGACATTTTTACAAAGAACACATACAGATGACCAACAGACCCATGAAAAGATGCTCAAACTCATTACTCATCAGAGAATTGCAAATCAAAACCACAATGTGATACTACCTCACACCAATGAGAAGGGCTAGTATCAAAAAGTCCAGAAAATACAAGTGTTGATGAGATATAATGAAATGGGAGCCCTCATGCACTGCTGGCAGGAATAAAACTTGGCACAAACACCATGGAAAGCAGTATGGAGGTTCCTCAAAAAATTAAGAAGTAGAACTAACCTATGATCCAGTAATTTCACCACTGGATATTTACCCAAAGAAAACCAAAACCACTAATTTGAAAAGATGTGTGCAACCCTATGTTTATTGCAGCATTATTTACAACTGCCAAACTGTGGAGGCAGCCCAAGAGTCCATCAGGAGATGAATGGAAGAAGAAGATGTGATATGGGGGCACCTGGATGGTGCAGTTGGTTAAGTATCCAACTCTTGGTTTTGGTACAGGTTCTGATCTCACTGTTGTAGGATGGAGCCCCAGGTGGGGCTCTGTGCTCAGCGCAGAGCCTGCTTGGGATCCTCTCTCCCTCTCCCTCTGACCGCCCCCCCCACATGCTCGTACACACTAGTGTCTCGGGTGTGTGTGTCTCTCTCTCTCAAATAAGTAAATCTTTAAAAAAGAAGATGTGAGATACAGATATAGATAATGGAATATTATTCAGCCAAAAAATATAACAAAATCTTGCCATTTGCAACAACACGGATGGAGCTAGAGAATATATGCTAAGCAAAATAAGCCAGTCAGAGAAAGACAAATGCCATATGATTTTACTCACATGTGGATTTTAAGAAACAAAACAAATGAGCAGAGGGGGAAAAAATGCGAGAGAGAGAGAGAGAGGCAGAGGCTTAACTGTAGAAGGCAAAGCGATGTTTACCAGAGGGGAGGTGTGGAGGGGAATGGTGAAATAGGTGAAGGGGATTAAGAGTACCCTTATTTGATGAGCACTGAGTAATACACTGAACTGTTGAATCACTATATTGTACACCTGAAACTAATATTACACGGCATGTTAACTACACTGGAATTAAAATTTAAAGAAAACAAGAAAAATATTTTAAAATTAACTAGAAATGGGTCAAAGAGCAAAATATGAGTTTAAAATATAAACGATTAGGAGGAAACATAAAGGTAAATCTTCATGACCTCAGATCTGGCAACAGAATTTTAGATATGATCCCACGAGCAATAAAAGAAAAAAATAGATAATGTGAACCTCATGAAATTTTAAAAATTCCATGCTGGAAAAAACGTCACCAAGAAAGTGAAAACTCACAGAAGGGGAGAAAATATTTACAAGTATATGTGCATATATCTGATAAGGGACTTGTCTCTACAATATAGGAAGAACACTTACAGCTCTGTAATAAAGTGACAAATAACCACAGTAACAAATGGGCAAAGGATCTGAATGCACATCTCTTCAAAGAAGATACCCAAATGTCCACTAAGCAAATGAAAAGATGTTCAACATCATCAGTCACTGGGGAAAGACAAATCAAAACCACAGTGAGATACCACTTCACACCTACCAGGATGGCTACAATCAAAAACACAGATAATAATAACAAAGTGTTATCGAGGATGAGGAGAAAGTGGGACTGTCATTTGTTGCCGGTGGGAAAGTAAAATCATGCAGCCACTTTGTGACCAGGCTGGCAGTTCCTCAAAACGTTAAACATAGAGATAACGTATAACCCAGCAATTTCATCCCAAAATATATACCTAAGAGAAATGAAAATCTATGTCCACATAAAATCTTATAAAAGAATAGTTATAGCAGCATTTTTTATAATATCCCAAAAGTGGGGGAAACCCAAATGTCCAGCAACTGATGAATGGATAAACAGATGTGGTATGAATGGAATATTATTCAGCCATAGAAATGAATGGAGTACTGATACATGCTGCAACCTGGACGAAACTGAAGTCATTTTGTAAGTGAAAGGAGCCAGTCAGAAAACGCTACATATCGTATGATTCCATTCTTATGAATTGTCCGGAACAGGCAAATCCACAGAGACATAAAACAGAAAGAGCGGTTGCCTATAGTTGGGGAGATGAGGAGAATGGGGAGTGATGTCTCCGTTGCTGTGTCTGAACGACTGCTACCCACCTCAGGGACCTCCTTCTGTCCATGGCTAACAGGGGAAGACAGGCTTCAGGTGGATGCAGTGGCAGGCTTACCGGGGGAGCACGTCTTTCTGCACCTGGAGCGAGAGACCTCGGTTTGAGGCCCTCCTCAGATGCTCACACCCAGCATCCTTCAGGCAAGACACTTCCATCACATTGCTACTCAAAATATGCCCCCTGGGCTGGTGCTGATCCACAAACTGTTACCATCCCACAACAGCATAAACACAGAAATTGAAAGCAGCATTTACAAACCTCGACAGCAATCTGACTGAGTGGCTTGATGGCTCTTGAATTTAAGAATAAACAGGTTGAGCTCATTAAAAAAAAACTGGGAGGTGCTTCCCTCTCAATCTCCCAGGTAGAATGACCAAGGAAGACACATATTGGCTCATCATGAGACACCTCCTCACTCATAGGAACAATGGCGGTGGCTCACACGCTGCAGGTCCATCAGAGGCTGATTCAGAAGCATGGGGCTGCACTAATCGGATGCTCCACAATACCCATAGGGTTGTAAGTAACTAAGGCCTGACCTTTCAAGAACAAAAGGTTATAACCTGAAAAGAACAAAGTCAGGTAAATCTGAATGACATAAGAGTAGCAGCCTCAGTTGGGAGGGGTCCTGAATACTTGTTTTTTCTTGAACTTTTGGATTTAGATATTTCTGTACTGAGTTTGAGTCCTTGCTTATGCTTTTCAAAGAATTTCACACTATGACTGGCATTGAAATAGTTTGATTTGTATATGCTTGTCCTATTACTGCTATTTTCCCCGTGTTGTTGCTTATACTTTGTTAGTGAAGCAGTAGCCATTCCCTTACTTCATCTCAGTAACCACAGCATTACACCATGATTGCTCACTGGGTACCTTTTACTTCAATCATCCACTCATAGGAATAATCAGATGTACTCCTTTCCCTCTCTGGTCTTCCACATCAAACCCCAATTTCCTTTCTCCTTCCCAGATTTCACGTGTATCTCTCACACTTCCACTCCAAATGACCCATCCACAATCCAATTTTGGTGCATTTTAATGTCGTTTTACCAGTCCTCCCGTTTGATTTCTGAAACTATAAACGCAACACACACACACACACACACACACACACACACACACACACACTAATGGATTTAGGTTCGGAAAATTACGTTTTACATACTACAATGTGTATGACACCGATATGAATGAGTAACTTTGAAAAACATCCATATGTCATATTCCCAAACATGGGCATTTTGAACCAGTAGCATTTAGCTTGATAGAATTTAAGAGACATAGTGAAATTCAGTTCTCCTTTTCTAAGCGGTCCACAGTTCTTTCTCTGAAAAGGCAAATGCCTCCGCAAGGAGCATTAGGCTTCCAAAAT